GTGAGCCATATGTAAACTTGAAAATTTTATCTACCCATGTTCTTTAGGAAAGTTATGTATATATTTTTTTCCGTCATATATATATATAGTATACACTTTGTATATATTTTGTAAATTAAATAGTCAAATGGTTCAGACGTGTAATTAATTATCCTTTCATCCTTCAAATCTTAAGACCGATTAGAGTTTTATTGGAGACTACTCTATCCTAAACGCTAACTCACATTTATAGAAGTGTGGCACGTATTCTCTTAAAGAGACATCTCAAATTTCTCATAAACTCATGTGATATTCACAAAGAGATCAAGATATCAAATATTAGTCTTTTCGAATCGAAGTAATCAAGAGGCATTCTTCCTCAAAATAAAATAAAAATATAGAAGTGTTTTTCAAAGGTTTTAACGGTCACAAAAAGATTCACATCAGTCTATGTTCGAAAAATATGCTACTCCAATCCTTGGATCATGAAGAACAATTCAAAGAAAAAAAAATCAAGCAATAAACAAAATTATATCCACATTGAAAAAAGTTATTACTTTGAAAATTTTGTCACAAACAAACATAAAATTTTAGAAAAACATGAAAGAAACATGTGAAAAATGAAGTAAAGTGAGAAAAAATTTTACTATTTTGATTGCTAAATTTATATTATCCTGCACCTGATTGGCTAGAAATAATTAAGAGAATAATTCATATACCATGCACAAAGACATTTTTTTTTCACCACTTGAGATGATTTTCAACAATTTGGGCCACCACGATCTGCTTAATTATTGCTACCCTCTTTCTTCCCTTCCACAAAAGAATCTGACATGTACAAAAAAGTACTGTCATCCTTTATTTTTATTTGTTCATTTAAAATTTTTTATGTCTCTAAATATATTTTGATTTATTTTGATTTATATGATTTAGTTTAATTTAATATGGAATTTAAAACAAAATGACTTTTGAAATTTGTGGTATAAACTAAGTCATAAATGTTAATGTGACAGTAAATCATTTTATTAAGGGTAAATAAATATTTTAAAGTTAAATTGCTACTAAATATAGAAATGTATCATTCTTTTTTAAAAATAACAAAAAAAAATTAAAATAAATCATAGTATAAATTGGGACAGAGGAAATAATAACCAATAAAACGATTTATCATAATACTCATATTAGTTATTATATTATCTTTAGTATATTATATTAAACATTTGCGAATAAGTATTAATGTTGAAGATAAAAGTAAAAATTAAATTATCTTTCCTTGATATATTTTTGACAATTACAGAGAATTTTATTAATTATCGATGAGCTTTACAATGTGAGGGAGAACTAAATAACTCAGTCTCTTTCAGTATTTTAATTTATCAGAAAACATGTTTAAACCTTAAATGATAGAGACATAGGTTTGTTCTATCGTGAATTAATGAGAGTCGATAGTTATGTGAGAAATAAATAACCTACGAAATTTAATGACCACCAACATGCTCAAAACCTTTTCATAGCATTTTTTTCCGGCTTAATATATTTGAAAATATCTTAAATTTATTTGTTAATAGACACTCGAATTACAATTTGTTTTATTTGAATATATATTAAAGTGTTTTTACTAAATATTCTCAGTTTAATTTCTTTTAAAAAATATTTCGCGCGTTTGAAAATATATATTATATAGATAATAAGTTAATAATTTTAATATGTCATTTTCTTTAATTATATGTATTTTTCTCTGGATAACACTAGATATTTATTAGTTGAAGGTGATTAAAATTGTCGTACAGTTTATTTGAAATTATCGTAAAACACTAGATATTTATCTGATGTAAAATAATTTAAGTAATTATATTTTCTTTTCACAGTTTACGAAACCACGTTTATAAGATGACAATAGTGAACACTGAACAGTTTCACCGACAGCGAGTGCTATGACTTGACAATAAGATGGGAAAATTCAATAATTTTTATTTAAAATTTATACTACGTCCGTCCTATTTTATGTCAGGTAATTGATATTTATCTGATGTAAAATAATTTAAGTAATTATATTTTCTTTTCACAGTTTACGAAACCACGTTTATAAGATGACAATAGTGAACACTGAACAGTTTCACCGACAGCGAGTGCTATGACTTGACAATAAGATGGGAAAATTCAATAATTTTTATTTAAAATTTATACTACGTCCGTCCTATTTTATGTCAGGTAATTGATATTTATCTGATGTAAAATAATTTAAGTAATTATATTTTCTTTTCACAGTTTACGAAACCACGTTTATAAGATGACAATAGTGAACACTGAACAGTTTCACCGACAGCGAGTGCTATGACTTGACAATAAGATGGGAAAATTCAATAATTTTTATTTAAAATTTATACTACGTCCGTCCTATTTTATGTCAGGTAATTTGACTCGTCATAGAGTTTAAGAAAGAAATGAAGACTTTTAAAGTTTGTGGCCCAAAATGAATGATAGAAATTTGTGTGACTTAAATCATTTCATTAAGGGTAAAATAGACATTTTATAGTTAAATTGTTATTTAATATAAAAATGTGTCATTCTTTTTTAAACTGACTAAAAAGGAAAGTAAGTCATATAAATTGTGACAGATGGAGTATTATATTTAAAAATTTATATTATTCAGATATCATTTAGTAAAAGAAAGATTGTAATGTAGAATTCACAAATTAAAATTCTATTTTTTTTATTTGTTTATGTATATTGATTTTTCATTCGATGTTTGTTATCTTTATTAAAATTTGATTAAATTCAGATTCAGCTAGAAAATATCATATTAAGGAGTAATGCGCTTCTTTATAAAGACTACTCTGTGCTCAAGAAATTCAAATCTGAAGACTCTGATTAAGGATGAAGGAGTACTTATCACTCCATCATAAATCTGACTGGTTTATTTGCTCATTGACCAAGCTTATGTGGCAATTTAATTGTTAAATTGGCACAAACACCTGATTTCACGCGTTAAAGGAGTGTGAATATCAAAATTTAGACTAAAAATAATAATTATTTTTTTAAAAAAAGACTAAAACTAAGAAATTGAATATAATTTTTTTTCCCACTTGTTTCTTCTTTTCCCACCCCACCCCACCCATTTCTTTTTCTCTTTCTAATTACCAGTACCTTCTTCCCCCATCCATACCTCATTTCTCTCTTTCTCCCCTTGCCAACCTGTTCAAAAAAAAATTCATATTTTCTTTCTTTCTTGAGAAACGAAAATGTGGTATTGTTGTAGATCTGTGTTGTCTTTTCATTTTTCTTGTAATTTATGACCTGTATGGTGAGAAAGATTCGATAGTCTTGAAAGATGAAAAGAGATTGTTGGTTGTCTTTGTAAAAATTAGGCGAAATACGTTATACAAAATTATGTATAAATATTATGATATATTGAGGTATTTTAATGATGATTCATGGATGCGGAGAAAAGAAATTTATGGTGGTTCAAAAGGTGGGTGTAGACCTTGGTAAAAAAAAATACGATTAAGAGTTGCGAATGATGAAAACTGAGAAAGAATCGAACTACAATTTTTAAGAACTTGAAGAGCTTCGTCACGGCTATAGACAATGACTGCATGAAGAAAAAAATTAAGGAGATTGGAGATGGTGGTTGTGGATTGAGGGAGGTGGAAGAAATGTAAGAGAAATAACTATTTTATTTTATTTTTAAAAATAGAAAACCTTTTTTTAATCTTTTATGGAGTAACATTTTTAGTTAATAATTTAAAAATATTTATGAAATAATTATAACTTGACATTAATATATCTGATATGGATATGACATTTTCTTTTTGTGTAAGGGAGAGTGAGCTACACACATGATTGGAGGGGTTTAAATATCATATTTTAATTGAGTTTGAGGGTTCACCTGACAAAAAACTGAGTATAAGGGTTCAGAATACAAACTCATACAAATATAAGGATCTATCAGACCTTTTCGCCAATAATGATTGACATAGCTCCTTACCTAGACAAATCATAGGCCTAGTTAACATCGACAGATGGCAAATACCATCTTTTGGTGCTATCATCTTTGATCCGCCATGAAGAAACAACTCTATTGCCACTTGTGTCAGCCCAATCTTTTGCTTATTAGTCTAGAAGGCAAACAAATACACTATGTACTGTAGAAGGCTAGACCTAGTCCTCCTTCTTCCTATGTATACTCTTTGACAGTGGCAATACAATCATGACTCTTTTTTGAAAAGAAAGAAGACATAATAATGAGTTGATCATTTCACCCATATTAATTTATAGAAAATTCTAAAATTAGTGTATTCATTAAAAAGGTTCTGCCTTTTTCAAACACAATAGCTCTCTAAATAAATTGAGAGTATAATAGATAAAAAAATATTATTATTATTTTTTTTTATCAAAAATGACAAGATAGAAATAAATAAAGAATCAAAATTAAACAATTAAAAGGGAGTGGAGGAAGTACAACAATATAGCTTTTTTTTTCCTCCAGAAAGACAAAAAATGGGGAAAATAATTTGTCCTTCTTTCATGATTAGACATTTGGACAAATTATAGAACTGTCCTCTTCTCGTTCTTTAGAAATAGAAAAAAATAAAGTATACAATCTTTACCAAAAAATTGAAAAATAAACTTTTCTTACAAAAAAGATACTCCATAAAACTAAAAACAAACTTATAAAAATCACAAAATCAAATCTCTCACTACTAATAAAACTATAAAAGCATATGCACTTAGATAACATAATTAAAGATGATACGCCTAAAAGATTGATGTTTTGATTTTATTTAAAAAAATTTATTGATGTTTTGATTCGATTTTCGGTTATAGAGTTTTGATTAACTAAAATTTTGATTAAATACACAAAAAATTTAAAAACAAATTTCATGCTTACCAAGATATTGCAATATAAAATTTGAACTGAATCAACTCGATTTATTTAATATTTTAATTTTTCAATATTGATGCTCATCCTAAAATTCACATAAAATATAAAAATAGAGTGCATGCAGTTACAATAATTCTTAAAATTACATTCCTAACAACTTGTAATTAGGATATAAAGTACAAAGGACGATTGTATCCCTATTACAAGTTTACAATAATATTAATTGCCATTACATATTTCTTTAATACCAATCAGGGATATGTCGGAGTAATAAGTACTCCTTCATTCTTAATCAGAGGTGTTGGGTTTGAGTCCCCATAGATACGGAGTCGCGCGAATCTGAATTCACTTAGACTCTAATATAAGTACAGGACATTACGAAAAATAAAAAAGAAATTACTATTTAATTAAGTAGACTCCATAAGTCAATATCAGTTGAAAAGTCATCCCAATCATGACTTTGTCCTTGTTGCATGGAGTTGCCTTCACCATTAATTAACGGTGGTGATATTTCCTCATGTAACAACATTGTTGGTGTTTTTTCAAAATTTGTAACAGCTACTTCTTCAATTTCATTGCAATTTTCCAGTAAATTTGTCCACCATTGAACTCCATCGTCTATCGACGATGTATTTTCTCCTGTTGGCTTCTCAGAAATATTTACTACGATTTCCTTGCAACGTTTGTTGTCTTTGTCTAATGTGTTTGTGATCATACTTTTGTTGTTGCACCAATGAGAATTATTCTTCTTAACGTTTGAGAAGTTCCGAGGTTGAGGTCTTATTATTTCATTCTTAGTAACCGCGATGCTCTTATGCTTAATCTGTAGATGAGGATTAGGACGAGGGCGAGGAGGAGGAGGAGGAGCAATAATATTTAACTTCTTTTGAAAGTGAGTGTTCCAATAGTTCTTCACATCGTTTGCTGTCCTTCCTGGAAGTCTACCAGCAATAAGTGACCACCTACACAAAATAACGTAACTTTTAAATGAAATAATTACACATATTAAGACATGGTAATATTTATAAATATATATATAATACATTAAAAAAAAAATTATATCGTAAATCTCTAACATCATAAACTTTTGAATAAAATGATCGCAGTCTAATAAACACATAGACTTGCCTATTGCCTAAGAGTTTATGAAGTCTCAAGATGAGATCCACTTCATCTGGAGCAAAGTCACCTCTCTTGATATGTGGCCTTAGATAATTTAGCCACCTTAGTCTGCAACTCTTTCGACATCGATTTAAACCTACACATATTCACATGAAATTTAAGAAAAAAATAAAAAAATTAAAATATTGCAAAATTTATAGTTTAAAACAAACCATAGAACTATAAATCATGTTATTAGAAGTAAAATCAAAATTCAAAATTTAGTAAATCATTTATAAATGTAAAAATATATTATTTTTTTAAACGAACTAAAAAAGAAAAAAAAGTAATACCAGCCCTAGCAGGAACAAGATGCCACTTTCCTTCACCGTATATTTGAATGCATTTTCTTAAAAGAAAATCTTCTTGTTCAGTCCATGAACCTTTCCTAACTCCCAACGATGCACACATAGGAGTATTCATTTTTTTTAATAATATATAGTTCTAAGACACATATTTTAATATTAATACTACCATTTCTGTCTGCCTATATATACAAAAAAAAAAAGAAGTTAAAACCCTTTGACATACGTGGAAGAACTTTTTACCACTAAGGGAGCTCTCCACAAAATGACACTATTTATAAATTGCACTCTCATTTTCATCAAAAAAATCCAAATTAGCCCATGTCCCCCCTACTAGCTATTCTGCTAGCCTTGGGACACTCTCTTTTTATTTCCTACTGGAACATTAATTAAATTCGGATCTCACGTAGGTTCATTTGAAGATTCGCTTTTAATAAGATTTTCTTTTATATTCAATGTTTTTTAATTTGATACCGCTAATTAAGGGTGAAGCAGTCCCTTCACTGCACCACAATACATATTTGGTCTCTCTTTCATTTCCATCATTTTTAGTAAGTTTTAATTATTTTTTAAAAAAAATTATTTTCTTATCATTTCTTTTATTTGACGTGACTATATTTAATTGGGGTTTCATTTCATCAATTGAGAATCATGTTTATTAATTATCAGCCACGGAAACATATATCTTAAGATAAGATAAACTAGGTGATTTTGTGAGACAATTACTATTTAGTGTGTCATTCTTAATATTATTATTAGACTGAAAATTGGTAGATTCATGATTACAGGACGATGGGGCCATTATCAAAAACAAATACACGTTAGTAGAAGTGATGTCACGTCACATTTATTTATTCAATTTTTTTATAAAACACATGTAAAATATTCGGCATACTAACCATTAGACACATAGGTTTGTCTTGCAGTGAATTCATTTCTCATTTTTTATCGAATCAGTTCACCAACACATGGTGGCAAAATTAATTCTCGCTGAAATATTAAAAGCTTCTTAATGTTTTCGTATGTAATCACTATTTTTTTCAATCAAAATATCTATAGAAATAGCCACGAAATAATTTTTAGTGAGAAATTTCAATAGGAATATAGTAATTCCTCACTAATGAATGTATAAACATAATTAAATGACCCTACGTAATAATCATTTTTTGATTTTTCATTCGGTGTCTGGTACTCACAGTGAAATCTGATTAAATTCAGATCTGCACCAGAAAGTCTCACATTAAAGGGTAAAATATTTTCTAACAAAGACGACTCCGTATCGTGTGGACTGATAGTTGTGGGAACCACTTTACACTCACGAGGTCTCCTGTTTGAAACTTGTCCCCACCGCGTTTTATGCAGTTTTAACATTGTCATATCAAAACCAAAAATATCAAAGAAATGGGAACTCTAGAAGAGGTGCTAAGTAGTAATTTCAATCATCTTTCCAAACTAGATTTTGTGTTTTGAAATGCTTAATAAAATATATGATCATTTTTCAAGATATACGTATAAAAGTTTTTTTTTTATTTTAAATTAATAGGATTTTTTGACCCCTTTCTCACTGTATGAGTCTGCCTCTGGACAAATATAATGGAGGAAATTAAGTGAATTAACGAAGTCAAAAAAAGGTTTGACATAATATGGCTCAAACAAAGAAACATTAATTTAAAAGTGGTCAAATCGTAACAATAGATCAAGAAGAAAGTGTCACGACTTGGATATTATTTTCTTTAAACCTTACTTATTAATACGACATATATACGAATTTTATCTTTTATGATTTTTGTGAAATCTATTTTCATAATAGGATAATCGATCCACTAATGATGATCCTGAGTTGCATTCTAGCTAATTAAGTCTAGAAATTACTTCTTCTTTTGTTATTATAGTTTGCTCTTTTTATAAAAAGAGAAAAACCGCCTTTGGTGATAATTGATATGAAAGAGTTACATTTAGTTTGGTACCAAACTTAAAACAAGATCGATCTTGGGATAGAAATAAAGTTAAATAAACTCTAGAAAGTAAACCAAACAAAGGAGGAAGTCTAACCTAGCTATTATTCTTAAGCAAAGAATGATAAAAAATCAATGAGCTTATCCAATCTCCAAGGCATAAGTATTTGTTCACACTATTTTTTATTGTCTATAAATAAAGGGATTTTCTCTCATTTTAAAATAACAATTTTTTAAAACTTCTTCTTCTTCTTCTACACAATTAAATATTCGTGTTTTTTGCTCTTGTTAAGTGGCTCACTGACACTATTATTTTTGTATCAATACACTGGTAATAAAATCATTCCATCTTGAGAGGATTCATTTCTTTAAACCTCGGGTACTAGAGGGGAATAATTTCCTTAAGGGGATACTATGTATTCGGTGGACTCAATTTTTTCCTTTTTGCTTCATTCCATTGTTACAAATCCTGGTAATTTTTTTTACAGTCATTAATTTATGCTTATGATATTAATAGTTGTTTTTGAGTACATGTTTTAAACTTTGTTGTTTATGTTTCAAGAACAAACTTTTGACATGGGTTCAAGGATGTGCCGGATGACTTGTAGAGGAATATGACTAAGAATAGTGTCTCTTTTAATCCCAAAGACATAGATAACTACACAATAAATTAATTGTTCATATTCAAATGAAGTATGGATAGATTCTCAAGTTTATTGCAAGTTGTAACTACGATTGGAATAGAAGTGTAGTTTCAAATTGAACTTCATCACTCTGGTATGTTGATTTTAAGAAAACACCCAAACAATCTGAATAGTTTTGTGTAATATTTTTCCCTTTTAAGTATATATAATAAATTGAACTGTTGTCCAATATGATACATTATCCCTTTAATTTTTCATTTTAATAATTACTTATGATACATTTAAATGGGAAACTTTAAAATGATGTAGGTAAAACAAAAGGTAGGGCTGAACTTTCTACAGATTAGAATTAGAATATTTGTTCACTTTTTTCAGCCTTTTAAATTTATTTTCCCTTCACCAACAACTATTTATTATTAGAAAATTTAATATCTCATGTTGATGTTCATTTGATTTCCCAAAAATATCAAATAGTAACACTTTCGCAAAGCAAAAGGATAAATCATAAAATCAAATTATAGATGATTGATTGAAGGATAAATGATAAGACATTTTCCTTTACATTATTAAGAGAAAATGGCCAAAATCCTCCCCAACCTATAGCCGTATTTTCAACTACACACTCATACTTCACGAGGGTCCTATTACCCCCCTGAATTATTTTAAAATGAAATAAGTAGCCCAAACGTCATACCCAGATATGTGTCTTGTGGTGAAACACACGCGCTTGACATGTGTTTTCACCTATAGATCTTTTTTTAAAAGACATTTTTCTCTCTTTCTTCTTCAACCTTTCTTCTTCATTCATTTTTTAGCCCTAATTATTTTTTGAGAACTTTGATTTGGAGAAAATATTGGGGGTTAAATTGGGGGGTCACTTTTGTCTTCTCCGGAGGGATATGTCGTCGCTGTTGGCATAGTTTAAGAATTTCGCTGCCACCACCATCTCCATCTATATATGCCTTTGTTATGTATCCGCCTTCACCATTTGCTCCTCCACCTACTCAAAGAGCTCCCGTCATTTCTTTCAAAGAATAAAGCTCGAAAAAGAGAACATTCACACCACCACCAAGACCACTATGAGTCTAATTAATGTTTGTGGGTATTTTCATAATTTTATAAGTCTATGAGATGGAGTTTTTATAATCAAGAGAAGGTAATTGCTTGTCGAGAATCTAGAAAACAAACTAAAAAACACATGAGGGATTTAGATCTACATGTAAAAAATATTTTTTCTTTTTTAGGGTACAATTGCATTTGAACCCAGATTGATTTTTCAAATTTGATTCAAATTATTTTTTGGTGATTGGAGATGGTGGATTTGATTGTTTTTTTCAAAAATTTTACATGAGAGTTGTTAGAAATTTACAATAATGAATCCGGTGAAGATGACGGTAATGGCGCGGCGATTTTGGGATGATAAGGGTGGAGAGATTTGACATATGCTACTATGGAGAAGAAAGAAATTAAATTTTAAAAAAAAAATAATTAAAAATACAAATATTTATGAAATAATATATTTAAAACAAAATTTTAATATTGTTTTGGCTGCTCACTCTCTCAAAGAGAGTGAAATACACTCACTTTTCCATGTAAGCATTTAGGGAGGTAATAATTTCAATTTTATAAAATTCAGGGAGGTAATAGGACCTCCGTAAAGTATGAGTGTGTAGTTGAGAATCCGACTATAGATTGAGGGGGCTTTTGATCATTTTCTCCATTATTAATGTTACTACATTATTAATGTTCGTTATTAATTAATATATTTTCAAAAGACAATATATATAGTATATATATATTAAATATTCAATTTAATATTATTATAAAGACCCTTATTTTTCTAATATAAATTTTTTATTTTAGATAATTAATTTTACTTTTAAAATTCAATATAACATTATGATCACATTTGTGAAACCAAACAATGCACTTGTAATTACTCTGTGACAAATATACATGTCATCGTAAATTCGTAAATACTAAATTGTGTAATTAGTAAGATAATAAGTACCACCTTAATAATTACACGAATTACAATTACCTGGCCTTTCCAAACAGACCCTTGTTTTCGTTTCATCATTGGTGGGAAAGGTCGTAAGGGAGCATACTTAGGGCTCGTTTGGCCATAGATTTTTCCCAAATAAAATTTGGCAAATAGTGTTTGTCCATACTATTTGCCATTATTTGGCAAATATTTTTGGCAAATAACCCAAATTCTCAAATACTAGAAAAAACTAGTATTTGGGCCAAGTCTCATTATTTGAGAACTTTTAATAATTCAAATTCTACACCAAACTTTTATCTTTTACAAGAACACCCTCTATAGTAGTTGTTTGCATTGTTTTACATATATAATTTTTACGTGAACATCAAAGTAGTGATGGAATATTCAGTGAATATGAAAGTGATGATATGATTGTTGATGAAAATGATAACAATCGGCTTAGGATAACAAAGTTAAGTGCTATGTAATACAAACCTATGGTTAGTTTTGATATTTTTTAAAACTTATGGGTATAAATCATATTTCTTAAAAAGGTGAAATATATTTTCCAAATACTATGTCCAAACACAACGTGAAATTTCATTGTTATTCTTTTGATTATTTTCGAAATATTTTCCTAGAAAATATAAAATAATGAAGAATTTCACTAAATAATGAGTAAATATGATGAAAAAAAGATCTTATACATTTCATATAATATAAGACTAAAGGAAGTAGCATAAATACGTTGCACATATATAATCACATAAATAACCTAAAAATCACATGAATAATATCATAGTGCATATGCACTTATTAATTCCAGAAATATGAAACTTGGGTTTAACTCAACTCTAAAAGTTAGCTCGTGAAGAAAAAGTTTGTCCAAGTCCATACAAATAAATTACCACCAGTCCATTCCCTTATGAATGTATGTGGATGGTAACCCACTCTAACAACATTACTTCCCTAACAACTTGTAGTTGGGATACAAAGTATAAAGAACAAATGTATCCCAATTACAAGCTTACAATAACAACTTCTTTTAATCAAGTAGATTCCATAAGTCAATTTCAGCAGAAAAATCATCATTTTCTCCTAGTTGCATGGGTGGTAAATTAAGAGAAATGTCACCCCAACTTTCATGACTTATTTGTCCTTGTTGCATGGAGTTACCTTCACCATTTAACAAACTTGTTAGTGTTTTTTCATAATTAGTTACAGCTTCTTCTTCTTCTTCTTCTTCTTCTTCTTCAACATCGTCATTGCAATTTTCCAGTAAATTTGTCCACCATTGATCTACGTTTTCCATCAATGCATCTGGAGTTTGCTTCTCACTTACTATTTCCTTGCAATGTTCCTCCTTGTCCACAATTACAATATTATTTGTAATATTCTTCTTTGTGCTTGAGAAATACTTTAGCGGTTGAGGTTTTATTATTTCATTCTTAGTAATTTCTCCACACTTATTGTTAATCTTTTCATGAGGAACAAATTTAGTAGTATTATTTACCTTCCTTAGAAGGTTTGTGTTCCAATAGTTTTTCACATCGTTTGCTGTCCTTCCTGGAAGTCTACCAGCAATAAGTGACCATCTACATATAATAACGTAACATTTAGATGAAATAGTCACACATATATATTATATTAATCAAATTTATTAAAAACATAAACTAGCATGCCTGTTGCCTAGAAGCTTATGAAGCCTCAAAATGAGATCCACTTCATCCGGAGCAAAGTCACCTCTCTTGATATGTGGCCTTAGATAATTCAGCCACCTCAGTCTACAACTTTTCCGACATCTATTCAGACCTGCAAGTACATGATTTTACAAAGAATGTCACATAAAATGAGACAAACAGATAAAATAGCACGGTAGTTAGTTTAATTACCAGCTCTAGCAGGAACAAGATGCCATTTTCCTTCACCATACTTATCAATACATTTTCTTAAAAGAAAATCTTCTTCATCAGTCCATGAACCTTTCCTCACTCCCAATGAAGACATAGGTGAACTGTTCATGATATATTATACAACTTTTTTATTGTCTATATATACTTATATACACATGTCTAAAAGGTGCATTAAATTGTAACTACCAAGTTGTAGAGAGCCTTTTACAAATTATTAACGACAACTGTTATAAAAGCCAAATTGAACACTCATTTTCAACACACAAATCCAAATTTCCTACTGTAGCTATCCTGCCAGCTTCGATTGGGAAACCCATCTTTCATGACAACTATTTTTTTCGATTTTCGGAGTAATTTTTATTTTTTTTCCCCTATTATTTTCTTCTGTTTGATGTGACGATATTTAACTGAGCATGTATTGACAGGCCAAGTATTTTCAAAGAACCAAAAATATCATTTAGCTGCTAAATGGCCATAATCATGTGACCTAAATATGGCTACAATATATATAAAAAATCATATTAACCTTTTTGCTTTGGAAAAAAAAAGTTAACTTGTACTATTTTCTAAATTTTAGATGTTAAGTACAACTAAAATTTGGATGTTAGTTATAACTATCATTAATTGTGAGAGGGGGACCAATATTTAAAAGGAATTTTTCGAATATTCCCATAGTTTCGGCTTAATAAGAGATTTAGAGATATATTATGCTTAATTACGATTCATAGCTATATGTTAAAAAAAGGAAAGAGGCAACTGAAATTGAAATAGAGAGGAGAGAGGCGAACCAAATTGGTTTGTATTAAGGAATACAGTGTATATGTTCCTTGTGGATTCACTTTGTATTAAGTGTATGAGTGAATTATACAATTGTATCAACGATTACAATTGTTCAAGTGTATATGTTCCTTATGTATTCACCCCGTATCAACTGACTATAGATCAATTCAATTTTCCTAAAAAAGTTTAACAATATTTCTCTTTCATTCCAGTGATTTTGAACCACGAATTCAACATAATATCAGAACTGAATTTGGAAAACTAAAATTATTTTTCATTCCAGTGATTTTTAACTATTTATACATGTGTAAAGTAAGGATTAAAATATTTCCTAACTAAAAAAAAAAAGACTAATCATTTACACTTATGCCACTACTCAACACTAACGTAACTAACTAACTAATTTATCTAATCTAATCAACATTAACTTTATAATCTCACCAAATCAGAATTGTGGTTGAGTGATAATTAAGTACTTCTTCATTCTTAATTAGAGGACTAGGATTTGAGTCTCCTTGGTACGGAGTCGACTTTGTTACCGTTGATCATGGCAATAGAGTGTAATATTTTTTTCTTTGGTTGAAAGATACTAGTCTTCAAACAACACATGGCAATTATGAATCATGCTTGATATATAGTTGTCAAGGACGAAACATCTATTCAAGGAAATATACAAGTTGAATCTTGTCGTGTTTTATCCTCAATACTTACTCTGTTTTAAAATAAGTGATGTTTTTAATTTAAACAAATTTATTAAGAAACTACTTAATTCCTAAAAAATAGAAAGTGTTTTACGAACTTAACCTAATTAAAAGTCTTAAAAAAGAAGTGAGTCCTTTAATGGTGTAATATTTCATGTATTAAAATAAGAATAATTTTAAAAGAATAAGATTAATTCCTTTTTAAACATCACTTATTTCGAAATAAACAAAAAGGCAAAAGCATAATTATTATTTAAAAAAAAAAAACGAAGAGAGCATTGTTAAAAAAAAAAAAAAAGGTCAGAAGGTTTGAAGTGGCTCAATCAGATCAAATCAAAGCAATTGATCACGAATATATACTTAAGAGTTTTACCCTTTGTGAGTTTTGTGAAACTTATTTTTAGATTAAGGTAAATGATCCATTTTGATGACAATATTTTGACACTATGACGAGAGGGAGTTGCTCTGATGATAAATATCTTATTCACTTTCAATTCGAAAGTTGTGAGTTTGAGTCACCAAGAAAGCAAAAGGCGTGAAATCTCCTAGGAGTGTAAAAAAAGAAGAAGATATTTTGACACTATTAAAAACAGTGCGAAAAAATCGAAGAAAAGAAAATCGATGACAGACATGATCAATTCAAAAAATTGAGGGAAAATCAATTTATTTAGTCGGTTTTTATTTTTCTAAAATAATAATAATAATAATAGAAAACCAACGAACTTTAGGAAAATCAATGGACGTCCATCGACAATTTTATGTCAAAATACACGAAAATTATATTAAAAAAAGACTAAAAATTAAAAAGAAAATCAATGCAATCCCTCGATTTTATTTTTTCTACAAAAATCGATAGATTCATTTTTGAAGTAAAAAAACAATAAAAATATCATCATTGAGCATGTATGATCGAGTGGTAAAATTGTTCAAAAAGTCATAAAAAAAAATACCAATGGACAGGATAGGCTGAAACAAATAAATGCAAAATCGACGAGGTACAGTCCATCCATTGGCGTCAGTTTTTCTTTCTAAAAATAACTCTGATAGTTGATTTTAACCCAATTCTTAGTAGAGTGAATTAATATTTACTCGAACGTTTTAATTTATGCGACACTTTTCGAATTTCGAGATTCAAACAAGTCTATCTTTGATTGTAAATTTTTCATACATTCCTTTAAATATTTTAAATTGTCAATTATTGTGACTTATAGTACTTCTTACGTAGTTTATAGATATATAAATTTCATTCCAAAAAATTGAAGATTTCATGTGTAAATCGTCGGTCAAACTTAAAATATTTGACTCACAAAAAATGCCACATAAATTGAAACAAAGGAAGTACTATTTTAGCCCTCACTGTGACCCAATTTGTAGTAGAGTGAATTGTGTTCCACTTTAGTCTAGATATACTTAACATATTTGATATGCTTATTATAATTTTTTATTTCATGCTAAAAAAATACTCATGGCATAACTATATTACATAAAGATGGTGCATTTTACTTTCGACTTATAAGATCATATATATAAATTACTTTATATAAATAGATAACATTTAGATAAAATAAAATTGTTCAGATGGTAAATATTTTTCACTATGGGTGTATATGACCGGGTTGGTTCGGGTTTTTCAAATATCAAACCAAACCATTTGTGTAAAATTTTTAAATTTATAAACCAAACCAAACTAATAAAATTCGGATTTTTTTAGATTTTTCAACCTTGGGTTGGTTCGGATTTTTCAATTACCAAACCAAACCATTGTGTCAAATTTTTAAATATATAAATCAAACCAAACTAATAAACCTCTGATTTTTCCAGATTTTTGGATTTTTTCGGTAAAGTTTGAATACAAACATATAATTAACTTGTGCTCCAAATATTTCTTTAGTCCAACCAAAATATATTTATCTAAGGTGTTTCTTAAAAAAATAACACAAAATATGAGATGAGTACTGATGACACAAAAATATTCAATAAAAAATAATAATGAAATCATCATATAAAATAAATATTGCAAAGTCATAATGAAAATGATCATCCTCTAATTTAAAAGTACTAAATTATGCTAAAATAAGTTTAATAAGTATTAGTTACATTACTAAATATTTAAGGAAAATTAAAATTAGATATGTGCCCTTAACTATTTAATAGTGTATTTTAAAGGTATATATGTGCCCACGTGGACACATTACTATTTATAATTTTGCATTATTTTTTATGTCCACGTGCCAAATATATATGTTTAAAATACGGTATTAAATAGTCTAGGGAGATAATAGGTCCTCATGAAAATTTAGTATCGCAACAGCAAATCCGACCAAAGTTGGGGTATTTTTCAGACCCTTATTCCTTTTTTTTAATAAACATGAAAATTCATAAATTGTGAATCAAAATTTCCTACAATGAATAAGCAGCAGCACAAATTACATTTCGCCATGTTTCTTTTATAAATAAATCTTTGTGATTACAAACTTTCAAATACACATAAATTTTACAAATATTAACTAGTCAATAATAGTAGTAACTAGTTATTCTTTAATACAATTTTTTACCATAGTACACATACAATATCTTCACCTCGAACATTAGTTATCTTTTTTTTTACAAAATTTAACATGATAAATCCTCTTTTCTTTTTTTACAACATATAAATTTATAAGTTATGTTTTCTTAATCCATATACAATTTTATCGAATCATATTTTAAAAAAAAAAAAAATTGAAATTTAAAATCATGATCACAGATTACATGCATATATTGATTTGAAATCATGATTTTATATCGAACTACACAAGCTAAATGAATGAAAACTGATAAAAGTTATTGTACATCTGAATTCGATAATAACTTACAAAATTATTGGCGACAATAAGTAGTTTTTTTCGTAGAAAAGGATATATATTATATATATAGTTAAACATTCATCATTATATTTTTCCGATTACTATCAATGATTACAGATAAATTATCACAACAGATTAACTTATTATATAGACTAGAATGTTTGCTTGCAAGTGTTACGAGTGGACAATAATTTATTTCCATTTTGGTTAGCCCACAAATGATAGGATAGGGACTTCACATTCACAATAGTCAAATGTCAATATTCAATACTAGTAATTATTTCGTCCTTTTGGGAACACTCGATAAAATAATATTAATTGTTACCAAGTTTGGTTAGGCCATAAATTATTTTTATGTATAACTTACATAAATCTCATAGTGTATCTACAAGAAAATATAGAATTGGCAACAACCTTTTTGCAACAATAGTGATATTGTTGCTAAATATCAATAAATGGCAACAACTTTATTTGTTTGTTGGTATAGAGTAAATTTTTAACCACGACTTTATTTATTGTAGGCAAATATCTTAATTTTGTTGCCATATTTTGTGTGTATTATAGTAAATTTAAAATATTAAAGAAATTTGCAACAATATTTTTTCGTCGTTGTTAAAAATATATTTATTGTTGGTAAAACATCATTTTTTCGCAACAACTTATTTTGTTCGTGGTTGAAAATTATTTCCCAATTTTTCCGCAAAAGAGAAGGCGGCAAAACTTCCCTCTATAAATTTTTTGGCTCAAAACCCTTCCCTCTTTTATCCCAAACTGTTCCAAAA